ATTATGGACGGTTTTTCAAGGCAAGCTGACTGTCTAACATCGCCGAGTTTGTTGAAAAGGCTGAGGCAGTTTGTGTACAAGCATTTCAACACTGCTGCAGCCGTCAACTGAGCTGCAATGGTTTTGACCTTCAGAGAGTTTCCCTTTGATTGTCAATAACCTGAATATATCATCGTCTTTTAACGCTCGTTTGATACGAATTAGGTTTGTGTATAATAATTTACCGATACAATAGATGATGTTTGCAAGTTTGACCCAAGCGTGCTCCTGTGCGAGAGGCCGCGTCCCATCACATGGGACACAATTTGCTCTCAACTATTCTGATCACGGAGCTAATACTCAAATTACGCCTCTTGATTTTTTCACCTTCTGTCTCTGCCACTCTCTGGAGCTGGTACTCTCATTTCGGCATTCTACTTCTGAGTTGGCTACATCCTAATCCAGGGGGCGCGAGATCCAAGGTTTTTAGTTTATTAACTTCCAAAACAGAAGATTCTTGAAGGACGGATCGTAGCACAGTGCTGCGTTGAGGACTGTGTAGGCGGACGAGCGAAACCTCGAAGATAAAAACGGTGAGTTCCGTCATCTGCCCTCTTCGTGCCGTCGGCTCGAACTTACTGACGACGCAGGGTCACGCATGTGGTGTGTGTGCAATCCACCGGTGCTATGAGACTCTCTTAGCGCTAAAACCATCGTTAGCCATCAAGGGGTAAGCACAATCGGGCATTTCCGAAACGAGCAGTGGTAGTGCCCTCAGAGACTCAACCGGGTGCAAGTGAAAAAGAAGACCCAGCGATTCGCTCACCACGAGCTTTTGAACGTCAGTACAGTCGGACAAACAACATATCGAGAGCGATCCTTGTGGTAAAAAGAACGTCCAAGACGGGGCCACACTATACCAGATATGGCTGCCAACGTCCCAGACGGAACTCATTAAAGTCGCGGGAAAACTGACCTAACATACAGGTCCTGATACCAAGATGCGGCACGCAAACGCGGAGAAAGATTGGGACGCTTCATCTTTCAGCCTGACATTTTTGCATCCTTGGCACTAAAACATGGACACGCGACACACTAGACAGCATCGCTTTCATACCGAAGGCCGATGAACTCACGTAACGCAAAACTCTGATGACGCCAGGTGCCGCAGGGCCTAGGCCATTTGTTAGACTAAGTTATGTCAAGATACCTGTAAAGAAAACCTTTCTAGATCTAAGTGAGATCCAACAGTGTGATCCAACAGTGTGATCCAACAGTTATCGAGCATTAACTCGACATCTAGCCCAGACTGGCGGAAATAAGACAAAACGCTGAATATACAGTTAACTTCATCAGTCACACACAAACTTCCACTTTCTAGAGGAAGGAAGCTGTGATATTTTCTTATTGGTGACCGGAGAGCAACAAAATCTATCTGTAGACCGCTATTAAGCAGCTGGAGTAACGAATGGCTAATCGACATTAAATTTTTCGTTGGCATGTGAGTCTGTATACTCTCAAGAACGGCGGCCACACCATGCAGGGACGAGGAACTAAACCTGCTCATATTCAATATCAGAAGCAGAATTGGACGACGTGAGGGATCGTAAGCGGCAGTAGCTGAACAGCGCCCACGCAGTGTTGAATATAGCCCTGGTTATCAGGTGACGTTTCGGAAGGGAGGGCTGGTGTCATAGTTATGGTTCGCACGGATGCGACTCTCAGAGTCGAGCACAAAGCAGTAGAAGCTTACGTCATCGGCAGACCACGTTCGGTCGCGATTGCAGGGTAGAGGCAGGGGCATCTCCCGCACGCCGACATGTCTGCCCAACGTAGCCGAAATAGCATGCAGCCCAAGTGGATCCGCCTGCTGAAAAGTATACTGGACGCAACTTTGTGTGAAAACGGCTAACTCAAGTGGCACACTCAAAGCCGGCAGGATCCCATACCATCACCGGAAACGTTGGTCATCAAATTTTTGAACATAGTCCGATTGCTGCAATATAGGAGGGAGTAAAATCCGGTCATGTTGGGGTCATTGTTCCTAGGCCTGACCCTAGAAACGTCTCACAACCAGTGGCCATTATACATGATGATAATGGCGTTTGGGACGTAGTACCCTGGCACAGTGACCATCAAACATGCTGGAGGCACAGCGTACCAAGTGCTGCGTACAGAGCTTCCGGCAGCTTGATTAACACGCAAAGAGAGAGGCCGCGGCACAATTATACAGGGAATGGGATCAGTTGAAAACCATATATTCATCCTGAAGATTAACAGATAAACAAAACCATGGAACCCCCAACGGATGTCAACAAAAACCACCGAACAGGGAAGAGGATGAGCCTAGGTATAGTAAACAGTTTGCCCACAGCAAATTTAGTTCCCTCATGTAGAATGCGAATATAGCGAGTCGTATGGGGAGAAGAACTCGTGGACTAGCGTCGGTAAGATCCACAGTTACAACAACTGAGTAGGCATATGCCTGCATAAGTAGGCAAAAAAGCAGCATACAATGATTACCACGGATGGTCAGGCCTGACCGGAGGAGCGCTGGTACCTTCTTGCATCGGTCTGCGGAAGCCTAGCGGCAAGGTGCCACCATCAATAAAGCTCAAACACTGCTGCAAACAAGGATAAAGCGTAAGGAGTTCACCAGCAAAGCATTCGGTACCTTATTACAAGTACCGGACTGGCAAATAGCTCGTCACCGTGACCGGGCTGACATCATCTGTTCAGGAAAGATATTCTACACGAGGATCTTGCAAATGGAAGAAAGGTGCGACGATTAAACCATCAGTTCAACCCAGAGAACATTAGTGAGCGTGGTCCGAAGGGCCTTAGAGACCCACCTGTATTCCCACGGCGTGCGCAGTTTAGCTCAAAGCGGATTTGTTCGAAGACGATCCTACACTAAAAAGCCTGCTGAGAACGCACTCAATCCGACTTGAGAACCCTCAAAAGTACGCGTCCGGCATGGACCAAATAGTAAGCAATTCCTTAGCTACCCAACAGAATCTGACAGTTTTGAGCCGCAGCGTTTTCCCGAGTCCTAAGCACTGTGTATACTCCACCGTCAGTCACGTACGGGAGAGCGACGTATAATCTATGCGCTCAAAGGGGAAAATCAACTCTGAATGAATTCCGCAGTGATGGGGTGCCATCCTACTGGCGATGATATCGAACTCAAATTTACAGAATCTACTGACAGGAGTTAGTCTTCGCCTCCAAAGTTAACCAAGAGGCGTCCAGAGGCTCCGCGCCCATTCCCCTTGAAACACTCACAGTGCACCGCGTAGAAACATCGAAAGCATTGGACGGACTGTCCGATGCCCATGGGCAGTCAAGACGTCCAGAAATGGGTTTATGCAAGATCCCGACACGGATTGTTTAGGTTGGCAGCGTTGAAAAATGTAAACTCCTGCCCCACCAGGATCCTACAGAGGCTGCTGCTCAAAAGATTTGAAACGAGGAGCATGTAATGCTTAACCTGGCACCTTTGCGGGACGAAATCTGGACGAAACAGGTTTGCTTCTCCTCAAGAATCAAGAATCATGGTGGTATGGCGGACTTCGGACCTTATGAGCATGTTTGATCAAATAAACGAGCAAACAAATACAAAATCACAATGAGAAAAGCATAAGCGATCGCTATGTACTCACAAATGCGTAGATCCAATAGTCCACTACGCCGATTCCAATGCAGTAACCAGCTGTGAAGGAAATTTTCACTTGTAGAAACTTTCCACTGATGATTCACGTATGAGTGGTATATTCCACGATAGGAAAGTTTTTCGCAGCTAAAAAATGTCACAGGTGGTTAACGTGGCGTTCAACAGTTCACACATACGGAGATCTGGTCCCACTACTTCAGCAGTCAGCAAACAGTTCAGCGGAGCGAAAATCTACTGATTTAGCAAAAAGTCAGCAAGTCGCGCCAAAAACCTGTGAAATGGTAGTGTTTTTCTTTTTAATGTAATTATTGGTACAATAAAACAAACGTCATGATAAAATATGTGCAACAATTACACAACGCAGTTTAAAGTCAGGAAAAACGGTGAATAAATGTGACAACGTACTACACACGACAGCGGGCAGTTCGCTAACTAAACCACATAACTAGCGATCGCTGATGCACTGCCGAGAGCTAAAGCCATCCATTCTGGTGTACCTAGGCAAGCCATGGGACTATGCTCCTGGTCCTGATCCCCAAGTTAGTTTGCTTGGCCTGAACCGACGATGAAAGCCGTTTTGCGAGAGTTGTCATCTATTGCTGTGTGCCTCAATTCGCCCTGTTGGTAAATCTTACACGGATTGTTCCTAGGATCACATACTGTTCGGTTGAATTGATAAGTTCAAACGAATTAAATTATAATTTGTTCAAATAGGTTACTTTGAGAGATACGGACAAACAATTACATGTCACATTTTCAAAACGCATGAACGTGCTTTGGTTCTGCTGTTTCGTTAAACAGATACGCAGAGCTGGGAATGACAATAAGAAAATCAGCATAGAGCCACCCATAAAATATCCATGGTACGAGCTGAGTAACCATGCCTCTTAGTTTTCCAAGGAGGGATAATGGACAATTGGACCCTAATGATTTTACAATTAGCGACAAAACGGAAGGGGTTTGGGGTAGAGTGCCTGGAGAGATTGGTGGGGAGCAGTTTCTTATTCAAGACTGCAAAGTGTGACTCTTTTATTCTCTGTTGATCGTTACCAGAACGCTAGTATTTACCTCCTTGATCATATCAACACCATAACCATAGACGACTGTGATAACTGTACAATTCTTACCGGACCTATTAAAACAAGGTTAGTTTTTCAATCAAACCAGATAAGTTCACCAATTTCAGCATATTTGTAAGAGATTGCAAGGAGTGTTGCATAATGACAGCTTGCCAGCAATTCCGCGCCCGCGACTGTGAAAATATAATTGTGTTGCTGGCTTGCGCCACAGAGCCGATCATCGAAGCAAGTTCAGGGATGAAGTTTGGCCCTTACCAATGCCTGTACGAAGAACTCGATGGTACGTCAAAATTCTCTGTCGGGTCTTTTTGGTCTGGAAAAAAGTAATGTTAGCTCTCCCCATGTCAATATGAATTAAATTTTCACCAACTTTGTAAGTAGTTCGGTGGATGAGTTACAAAAGGTAACACGGGCTCCGCACTACGTGCCGATAGATGACTTTAACCAACAAATTTAATCTGGGAACTGTTAGGGGACTGCCTCTATCTGACAGACGTAGCGTCCCAAACGTATGCCGTCACTGAGCAAAGTAAGGCTCTATAACGTGTACTTCATTAACATGTACCACTAGATTGATTGGGGGGCATTGGCACTATGGGCATTGTTTTCTGCTGTGACAACTAAACCTAATTATAAGGGTGATTTTTCTTAGTACCTCTTGTAAAACGAACCACTGCCTACTTTCGGCGACTGCAAACAATGAACGTCTATAAACGAAGTGTGTAGCGATAAGACTTCAATACACTGGCATAGCTGATGCGGTTTTTAAATATAAATACGCTACATCACAAAAACGATTTAGTCCTGAAAATGGCATAGGTCAAAGCGTACAGAATGTAGTAGCTTCATATCCCAAAGAAAAAAGCCAAAGCAGAAGTCATAATGATTGCTCTGGATTGACTACCACTCTCGTCGAAAACTGTACGCCTGGAGAACAGCTAGGTGTGCATATACACCGAATGATTTGTGACCCTGCAATGTATACTACACAGCAGACTAATCGTGACATCCTCGAGAAAAAGAAACGGGATGTGTTGAAAGCCTATTTGCTTAAACGGACAGAAGCCAGGAGGTTGTATGTCGGTGTTATTTGAAGCCCTAGACCTTTCAACGGACTCTTCTCTAATGGCAGATTAAATGACGTGTCATCCAAACATTTTGAAGCGATGGTTCACCGTGATGAGGCCGAGATCGTTCATTTTGTGAATAACTCTGCTTTATATCCCAGTAAGCGCCAACTGCCTACAGCTGAGTTATGGAAGACAGGAGAAAGCCAATGAAACCAGAGAAAATTGCAGCGGTTGTTCAGAAACTGTCAAAGCAGTTGAGACAAATGATAGTAACAGCGAATGATGCTAGCTGCTAACACTTTTAGGTTGGTCATAGTAATACTACAGCGTGTTACATGTAAGCTTTTCACATTACTACAAAAGTTACGGCCCGGGACCTTGAGGGCAGATACGGGGTGCTTCAAAGACTAATAATCATACAACACTGACAGTCGACAAGGGCAGTTAACTCTTTTCGGCTATCGGATGTTTACTTTTGTGTTGGCAAAGAATTCCGTGCTAGCTTCAACGAATTCGCTCTAATGGTTGGTAGGGGATAAGTTTGAGCGCTAGCGGCAGGTCGCATCAAGAGAAAAGAATAGTCTGGCATTCGGTAATTTCTCTATCCGTACTTTTTCCACCTTCCACTTCCAAAAGGGTAACCAGGCATAGGATCAGTTTTGGACGCAACTTGCAAAACAAACTGTCTCATTCGGTTTCCCGTCTTGAATTTAATGAGATTTTATATTGAAATCCTGATGTTACTTAGATGTGATGGTCTTCCTTGACAGATTTTTGGAATGATGTCATCTTGTGGTAGAATATTGAGTAAAGTTGGTTCAATCCTGAAGTTGTACACTGAAAAAAGCTAGGTTACTGCTTTTCTACATAAGATTACTTGTTTGGTGTGCTGATCACGATGGGTGGTAGGCCCTGCGTTTAGCAGATTTCCTAGAAAATAATTTTTGGAAGACTACTTAGTTACCGGATTTTGCTGAGAGTTGTTACGTTTCAGTCTATCAGGCACTTTTTCAAATTTAGAAACGAGTAAACGAAGCAGCACTTCCTGCCTGTCACCATAGTAAAATGAATAAACTCGCACTTCAGAGTACGCTAAGCATTTCTCTCGATCTGTTTGGTTTTTTCAAATAAAGTGCACCAAAAATTCAGAAATAACCTAATGATTGACCTAATTATCCTATTTTAAGTCACCCAAATCCAAGATAAGTGGACAATTGTACGGGCAAAAATAAGACTGCGTTTTCGGAAGTAAACAAACGCCGTAAGCTAACTGATAAAATGAGTTTATGCAGCCAGTTGACGAAACGCACAAACGCATTTAAAGACGCAGCACTCGGATGTAAAGTACGACGAGTTGGAAGTTCATGCATAACTGTGTCTCAAAATTGTGACAGGTGAAGCTTCTAGCTAAAAATGACGGATAAAATGCAGTCAATTGAAAAACATGTTTGTGACAATACAAATTTGTACAAAATTCGCCACAACAAAGCACAAATAATTTATTTATAAGGTTTGAGGAAGTGGAGTTTAAATGTACATTTTATATACCCGGTGGTGTCCTGATCGAGTAAAAGATATTGTTCTGGACCCTCATCAATGCAGCTGGTTAGGTGAATAACTTGAGAAAATTCTTGGTCAGTTGTCAAAAGTCGACTGATAATACATTTTTGGCTGCTGATTTAAACTATCAGGAACCACTCCGCTTCCTGATCACAGCAAATCCAAGTTGTATGAGAAGAATAAGGTGCTGTTCAATAAGATGCCGTTGGCTGGACTAAAGTGAACTTGAGATAAAAGTATCGCCTTTAGGTTCTAAGTTGACCTAAATATAAAGTACACCAAAAAATTCTGATAGCCTCTACTCATACATGGGCCACTCGAAGCTACTGTCGAACACCCATGCCCAATATGTAAACCAGTGTAGTCTAGTTAAATATCTGGTTTACGCGAGCTGAACCGTACAATTTCGCTCCCGAAGAAACAAGGCTGATGTGACAGGTTTGCTTGAACTTGGTCTGTAGCCGAACGTTCGTGCAGCATGAGACAGTCATTCATACTGTCATAGTCACACTGGTTGGTAATTGATCAGGTGGCTGTTGATCTGTTCGCCGAGCTTGGCAATTGATTTGCACTGGACTACGGTAGAATAATAACAGAATGTAAATTTTAGCCAGAACTAGCGACATCTCAGACTGAGCATGCTAGTAAACATGTGTACAAATATGTTTGACCTTGTACAGGCGGGCTTAAACAGCGCTATGTACAGCAAATAAAAATGCCATAACACAACTAAGCTAACTATATAAAAGGGAATAAAACTGCTAGAATATGTACAAAAATGCCGCTGTTGGACGAATACTTATTTATATAGTCAGCCTGTAAACTGCTATGAAGCTGAGGTTGCGAGTTTACCGTATCCAAGACATGACCTATCAGGCATCATCCGGTCGTCTTCCGGGAAAATTGTGATGTTTGACAACGTAACGTAGATCACCGTGATTGTCTATATTAGCGAATCTTAGAGCAAAACTCGGAATACACACAATTTCAAAGTATGGAATTAAACTTTCATAGATCTTATTATTGCCAGCTTTTTACCAAAAACTGTTCTGACAGGTAGAGAAACAGCAAACATACGTACACCACAAATATGGATGTGCAACGGTGTAAGGTCGGAAGTGTTCAAAACAAGTTTGTGCATTAATGATCTTCAGTACCATAGCTTCTGGCGAGCAGGCAGCTGAGGACGCAAACGTTCTACATGCGGGCCCTTTCTGATGGGCGCAGTAAGACCTTCGTCATAATGACCACAAGACGCAGGCCTAATTGTAGCATTCACACAACACTGACAGAACAAAACTGCATGGGTTGCAACCACTTGCCGCTAAGTTGCTCAGAATGCACAGCTTTGTGCTCATATCTGCTGAGATTTTTTGCGCTGGTTAATCATGTAAAAGTCAGAAAAGTGACATCAACTACAACTTGCTCCTAAAACCACCTCCATTGCTGGAACGAAACTCAACGAATGTGTATGATACATTGTTCATGCCAAAGGTCTTGTTTAGCATATAAGAACTCGCTGGTAAGTTACTGTAAGGATAACTGAACTAGGCCAAATTCATCGTGTAGAGATTGTGATGGTGATCACTTTAAGGGTTGAATGATTGATACTCTAGAACTGAGTTAAAAGAGTCCACGAATCGGTTGTTTTCAACAGGTAAGTAGAATTAGGACAAAACGAGGTCATGTCAAGCAGCGCAGGCATACAGTAAGGTGGATCTTATAACTGGTTTATGTATAGTAAACTCCAGTTAGTTTATTGTTTGAAACACTTTCAAAAAGCCTTTCCTCCAAAAGCCGAGCAAAATTATTTGTCATTGGCAATTAGGAAGCTGAAAATACCTTTTAATAAGTAAGCTGTTTTAACGTATTTTCGCCCTTCCCCAAAAGCCTAACTATGTTACAGATTTATTTAAATTATCGAAGTAAATGCAGTACAACATAACCTTTTGTGCTTTGATTACTGTTGGACTGCTACCGTTAAAGTTGATCCACAACAAAGATGAAAGTTAATGATATCAGCGTTCACATTATACCAACTACATCTGAGTGGAGTTTTCAAGTCGTATTAAATACCTGAGTACATTTTGGGCAGTTTTACAAGGAGTTGACAAACAAAACGCTAATTTGCGTTGGAAAACATTCAGCTGTAGGCCTCTGAGTGCAATTTATTATAGTGTCCTGAGCATGTTGCTAACAGACCAACAAATGTACACCCAGACCATATTATGAATGGTCGCGCTCCCATATTTGCAAAAATTCAGAGCCACCCGTTTGATAAATAAACCTCTGAGACTAAGCACCCACCAAACAGGGATTCATAGATTCAGAGAAGAGTAATTAGTCGTCTTTGTGAATTTCCGTAATTGCTGCACGAGTTGTTTTCTCGTTTTTGATGGAGTTTCATATCTCTTCTGGCATTTAAGTGATCTCGAGACTAAATTAGCTTTTACAAGCTTTCTGTAGTGTTTATCAGGATTCTTCTCCAACTATTTGACTACGACGAGAAACGTACATCTACTGCCGCTAAGGAGATTAAAGAACGCTGCGTTCTGACCCCAAATGTAAAGTCAGCCCTGAAATATGCGGAGGCCGTAGCTATAATCCATGGACTGTTAAAAAAACTTGAGTATATTCTAATCAATGACGT